AAGCCCCCGAACCGCTCGCCCGCCTGGTGAGTTAACGCACGGCCCGCACCACTAAATTCCCAACCCGCTCGGTTCGCTCACACATGCCATTCCGAACCCCTAGTACTCACCCTCGTACTACCGAGCGACCTGGATCGTGACGGGCCTGGACGCAGGCTTCGCGACAGCCATGTCGATCCGCCCAAAGTGGCTCCGCGATCTGGCCTCGATCGTGTTCTCCTTCTACTACATCATCTATGCACAAGAAGCCGACGAAAAGGTACGCCTTGCAGTGCTCGAAGCCTCTCGCGTGTTTCTATGTTGTAGCCTCACGCGTCGGGAAGAGCATAATTAAATGAATAGAAGGATTAACATTAGCTTTACCTTTCTTTCTAGCTTCGGAGGTTCCGTGCAGTCCCGACCGTTGAGATGCTCCGGACGACCTGGGAAAAGACGTCGAATCCCTACGTCCGTATCCTTCCTTCCTTCCCACCAATCCCCAGCTTCTCACCCCTTCATTAACCTCAACAGATCCGCCTCGTAACGCACTTCCCCCGGATCAGCGTGCGCCGCAAGATCCTGCTGCCTAGGCCCAAGTCCTCGTCGTACGACCGCCCCATCACCGCGTACCTCTTCTTCGCGCCGCCGGAGAAGGAGCTATGCAAGGCCAGCGAGCTGATACTCGACTTTCCTGGTGGTGGTTTTGTGGCGATGAACCCAGAGCACCATGAGGAGCGCCTGCGGATGTGGGCGAGGTCGACGGGCAAGCCTGTGTTGGCGGTGGATTATGGGAAAGCCCCGGAATGTAAGTACGAGTCTTTCAGTTGAGTATGTGGGTTGGGCCGATTTTTTGGGTGCAGATCCGTATCCTTTTGCGAGAGATGAGGGGTTGGATATTTATCGGTTAATGGTGGATTCGGGTAAGGGCTTTGTGGGTGTAAATGAGATTTCATCTGAACGGTTCACAGGTGGAAAGCTTATTGGCATGTCTGGCAAGAAGCTGAAAGTCATTTTATCTGGAGATTCAGCGTAAGGTTCCATCGACCCTCTCTTAACATCCGAAAATTAACCAAACTCTATCTCAGCGGAGGAACCTTGGCCGTCAACGTCGTCATCCGGATTTTAGAACTAACGACCCTCGCAGCGTCCTCCCACCAACCTATCAACCTCCCTCTACCCACCGCCGTCGTGCTGAACTACGCTGCCCTCGATTTCAACTTCACATCCTGGATGACTGCTGATAACCTTCGGGTGCTGCGATCCGAGCAATCATCGGGCAACTTACCTGGGCTTAAGGAGCTCGCTGAGCAGAAGGACCACCTCAAGCACGTTGTGAGTGTGGTTTCACATGTTAAGTCTCACCATCGACGCTCAGCTTTCGACACGATCTAGAGCCCTCTGAGTATGGTGAGAGATAAGAAGCCAGGCTCGAGCCGGAAGCGTATTAAGCGGCGATCGAGCTGGAAGGACACGCTGAGAGGGTTTACGAGTGGTGAAGACGCCGATTCGAGCCGGGGGCAACACTCCAATTCGTCCTCGCGGGCCTCCTCGAGGCGGGGTATGCCTGACTCGCTCGGCGCTGCAGATGAAGGCACCCTTGCCGACGCAGAGAGCGAGGACGAGGACTTTGGTACGCTGAAGGAAGAAGACCGCCCGATCCAAGCGCGCATTTTGTACAACTACTCAACGAGCACGCTGCAGAGCCAGCAGCAGCAACTGTCGACGGCGGTCGCGGAAGCGAACACTAAGGCGATCCGGGCGGTGTCTGGCAAGCACTCGGACACGAAGGAGGCGATTGGGACGCGTCTGACGATGACGAGCCGGACGGGGTACTTCCAGGACCGTGTCATCTCACCTAGCATGGTATGTTCGTTTCACTTCTCTTCATATTGTCATTTATTTTTTTGTTGCAGATGCGTGCAATGGCGATTTTGTACATCGGCCCTCACCGGAACCCGGATTTTGCGACAGACTACTACATATCACCTATCCTAACACCAAGCCATCTTCTTGCCCAGTTCCCCCCACTTCTGATGCAATGCGGAGAGAAGGACCCGTTCGTGGACGACACGGTTATTTTTGCTGGGCGCGTCAGAGAAGCAAAGCGGGCGCGCAAGGTGGACCTGGACTTGGCGTTGTCGGGGAAGAGTGCGCGCTTTGGCGAGAGCTTGCGCATGAGCTCCGTCGACGGCCATATTGACAGCAAGACGGCGGCTGAGATGAAGAAGGAGCGGGACAAGCTGGCAGGGGAGAGCGAGTCTGACTGGGTGCAGATGGTGCTGTTCTCGGACTGGAGCCATGGGTATCTGCAGATGCCCACGCTGATGACGGAGGCGAAAGCTGTAAGATTTTTTTTTGATGGTGATGAGCGCCTGCTAAACTTTGTTGAGCAGGTCATCGAAGAATTGGCTGAATGGATCGATCATGCGTTTGACAGATACGGCGGCGGTGCAGCGGGTGAAGTGAGAGAGAAGACATTCGAGCGCGCGTCAAATGCGACCCTTGTCCCACCGAAAGGAGCAGGAGAGGAGGAGTGTGGGCGCAGTCCATTGACGTCGGAGACTGAGACAGACGACACGGGGATCACGTTTGTGCCCCGGCGGCATGGAGGGGGGCCGAGCACGCCGCCGCAGCGGGAGAAGGAGAAGGGGACGTCGTCTGGATCTGACGCGACGGTGCTGGGCGAGACGTTGGGTGATGATGGGAAGGGAGCCGAGACGCCGGAGCAGCCGGGGGCGGGCGGGGGCGGCGGACCAGGGCCGGATGTGCGTACGGGGACGGGGCGGCAGACGCTGGCGGGGCAGACGATCTCTGAGAGCGAGCTGATGCGGCGGCGGCGACTGCTGGGGAGTGTAGTGTAGTCGGAATAATAATAGAGTTATGCTGTGCAGCACTGCCACGGATTTTCTTTGGCTACAGCCACAGTGTGCCAAGGAAAGCGGGGAGATTTAGCAGATGTGATCATGAACGGCTCTTTCCTCAACCAACAACACATGGCGACCGACCGTGCTCAGTTCCCTCTCTATCCCGCAGTCGCCGTCCCTCTTCCTCAAGGCATTCCTACCGAGGGCCCTGCTGACCACCCCGAGGGGCCTCCTTCCCGCGACTACACATATGAAAACCACTACAACCTCCCATCCACCTCAGCCCACCACCAAATGCCCCCTCCATCCAATTCTCGCCAGAGCCCCTCCAGGTACACCCCCAATGCTACCGAGCTCTACATCCAGGCCCAGCAGCAGCAGCAACAGCCACCCCTGCCACAGCCCCCGTCCCCCAC